TACAGTTTTAACACGTGTATGCATGTGCATGTGTATATGAATGCACATGCTTGTGCACGTCATTTTTTGCAAGTTAGGGGGGGTTTAAAAGCAAATTGCATAAACAGAGATTTTATCTTGTAGCAGTCTACTAACATCCAAATGAGTCATCAGGAGTGGAATATTCTGAGCCATCCCACAGTGCCCTGTTACTTCAGCCAACTGATGGCAATAAGGAGATAATTCTCAATTTAAAGTACCTCCATAGAGAAACAACAGAGAGTTGTCGGTGATTCCCTCTCTTCACAATGTCCTGGCTTCTCAACACTGTCTCTTTTCTACCTGCTCCCATTCGCTTTCCCAGACAAGAAGTCCAGTTTGTTTTTGCAAATAGTTTTAGCTTCCCTGCTCAAACTGAGAGTCTTCTCCCATCTTCTGCACCCAACCTGCCTTCCTTGCTCTGCAGGGATCTGTCAGTTTACTGATGCCCTTCTCCCTTCTTTTTTTTTTTCCTATTCTGGTTTGATCTCTTTAGTTCTTCCATACTGAAATCAAACAACTTCCACTAGGCTATCTGGATGCAAGCAGGAGAAATATTCAGAGCCAAAGACACTTGTCTTGTGGCACCCAAATTGGTGCTTCTGATGGAACCTAGTTTAGCCATTACAGGGCTGAATTGCATAGTTCTGGTGTAGAGCACGTGGTGGGTTTATATGCCATCTCATCAACCTGGACAGCCGTGAGAGGAAGCAGCATCTTAAGCAAAAGTGAGATCTTTGGGAATTTCTCCTATTAAGCTTTGGCAAGTCCCTAGCAAGTGTACATGAACTGAAGATTTCAAGCATTTACAGCCTGACTAGAATGAAGTGGCAAAATCCACTTCCTTAACAGGCTACCTCCCATCCTAATCTCTGCTCCAAGCATGGGGATGCAAGAGCTTCTCAAAGAAAAGGTTTCTGTAATTTGGCAGCATGGACCAACCAACTGATGTTTAGATAGGCTTATTCTTGGAAAGGTCTAAGCTGTTTGGCTGCAGATTTTCAAATAAGTTATCCCTGAGGCACACACCTGGTGAGGGCAATTTTCAGCCAAACAGTTTTAGTTTGGCAAAGTGTTTAAGCAACTTTGAAAATGCAGTCTTATAATAGGAGGTATCTGGCAATCACAACAGTTGGCAGTCGTGCTAGCCCCACCTATAATATTTTTGGATCATTTAATAATGTAGTGAAGATTTTTAAGCGAGTATTTTTTCCATTAGAATTTAGTAAGATACAAATGTGCAGCTTCCTCATACTCCACTGAGCTACAAAGCATTGAGAGATAATTTTAAGCAAGCATGTAGAGTTTGGAATCATTAGCCAGCTCCCATAAGTGTCATAATAATGGGAGGTCTGTAACTGAACATGTATGTAAGAAATGAGAAAAAATATACTAAAATTTTGACCGACTTTTCCAGTTTTAACACCCTCAGTATACCTTTAGTTATTTTACAAGCATATTTTCACGTTCCAAAAAATATTTTAGAAATGAGAAATTAAAGTCTTACTGATATGTTTCATCCCTGCGTGTTTGACTGTTCAATTAGTATTAGCTGTGACAATGTCATGCTATTTTAAACAAGAGAAAAGCAGTAAATATGCAAGAACACTGATAATAGAGCATTTTGGCATGTACAGCTTTCACTTTAACAAAATATTTGGTATTTGTTCTTGTGACTACACTTGGCAAACTTACTAAGAGAGAACAGCAAGCCTTTTAATCATTTTGAAGCAAGTATTTATTAACATTTTTATGGCTAAAAGATTACATCCTGCAAAGAATTCTATACATATCTGAATAGTTTAGGCCTACCTTAGTAAGCCTTTATGGGCTAGGATTTGCTCTGTATACTTTTTGTTTGTTTTTTAGGTGCCAACTCAAATGCAAAAAATTGGGGTGTAACAAGTTGCTCTTCATATCACACGGCAGAATATACTTTATATATAAAATATTCTGTGAAGGGAATGACAATTTTCTTAATGGTGGTAGTTACAGAATTATTTCGGTAAATTGCCCAGTGTGGCTTCACATATTACAAGGACAAACAGATTACACCTAGTAAAAACTTTTACAGAATGTTGGTAGCTGGAAGAAAATAACAAAACTTTGTCATCTTTGATCAGACCACTGGTGTTTCAGCTCTCTCCCTTGTCACAGTCATTGGAGTAGTTACCAAATGCTTTAGAGGAAACGGTGTGACTCTGGTAGACATGCATGTATTAGTACACAGATGGGGGAAATTTCTAATACTAAGCATCTAGTAGATGGTATTATGGTCCTAAAACTGGGGCCTTGTTAATGAATGTTTAATTTTGCAGCCTTTCCTTTCTGTCCTTGCTCAGAACATTTATTAATATGCTGAACAATACCGATGTGATTACAGCTCATCAGGACAAAGTTGGTACCAGGTTGTGAACTGGCCATACTAAGGAGATAAAGCGTAACTAGCCTAATTCATACCTGGACAAACTCAGCTTGTTGCAGCCACTCGACAGGATTCCTTCTTTTCAGAAAAGGCTTTTAGTAAGTCAGATGAGTCTGGCCTTGGCTTAACAAAAAAGATAGCTTTGGTTTAGTGCACAGTCCCTCTATTCTGCACATCCCCCGGCCAAATAAAGTCCTCAACTGCAGAAACAAAAATTGTAGGTCTTTGCTTCTGCTGTGTAGCACTAAATATTAACTAAGGAAAGTGAAGATGAAATGAGGCTAAATAACAAGGCAGTTACAGATGAAATTCAGGAACAGCAATGGAAGATAATGGAAGGATTGCGAAAATAAAAGGGTTAAAACCGCGAGGTTGGGCTGGGCAGGACAATGAGTGTAAGGATAGCAACAGCATCTCGAGAGCAAGCAGAGGCGAGGAGATTTTTTTTTTTTTTTTTTTCTTCCCCCTTTCCATGATGACTGCAGACTGCTGAATCACACCGGTCACGTGAGCGCGGGCCGCACCCGCCCGCGCCCGCGCCGGGCTCGGCGGCTGCGTGTGCCCGCGGCCTGCCCCCCCCCCCCAGCCCCCAACCCCCTCCGGCCTGCCCCCCCCCCCCAGCCCCCAAACACCTCCGGCCTGCCCCCCCCCCCAGCCCCCAAACACCTCCGGCCTGCCCTTGCCCCCCCATACACACCTCCGGCCTGGCCGCCGCCCCCCCCCCCAGCGCCCTCCCGGCCGCCCCGGGCCCTGCCGGGGCAGATGCCCAAAGCCAAGGGCGCCCTGGAGCCCGGCGGAGCTCAGCACCTCCGGAGCTGGCGTGCCCTCCGTCCTCACGGGGGGCTGGCTGCCGTACGTGGGTTTTCACAGCTCCCATTTCCGTAGAGTAAATCTTACAGCATATTTCAGTGACTGAATAGGAGTCAGAAATACAGACACCTCCAACGCCCCCCCCCCCCCCCCAAAAAAAAAATTCCAGCCTCTGTTAGATCTGAAAAGTAAGTACTTGGGAGAAACAGAATAATCTGAAGTATAAGCTCTCTGATAAATAATTGTTAAATATTTTGATTACTGTATACAGCATATTTATTACTTGTCTCCATTTATGTTTGAGGATCTGAGATTCTGTGTGCAAGTTAATCACAGCATTTCAATGTGAAATATTTTCATAGTTTGGAGCACTCAGATGAGTTTAAATTACACATTTTACTGGATTTTAATTGCGATATTTCTTTATATAAATAACATTGTAAATACTCTTTTAACCTCACTGCATGAAAATACATTAATTTACAATCACGCTAAAATTTATAAGCTTTTTTTTTTTTTTTTCCAAATGAAAAGCTAATGATGAGTGGATTGCAGCAAATTCTCTTCATTAGTTCGTGGCTATTCAGAGCTTTGCAAAAGCGCTCACGTGGTTGCCTAACTACACAAAAATAGCAGAATTGATATTCACTCCGAGTTGCCAGGCACCCGCCGGGGGGAGGCATCCTGCGCGCCCCAGGCGGACCCCGACGCGCGTGGGAAAGAAGGAGTTAAAGCGGGCAGCCTGCCTGGCGAGTCAGCCCGGGCAGCGAGCGCAGGCCTCCCCTCTCTCCCCTTTCTTTTTTTTTTTTTTTCCTTCTTAATTAATCATACGCTGCTTCACAATTTAAATATGGAAATGGCGAGCCATTCGCAATTATTAATGAGCCTCCAGGCTGTCCTGTGGCGTTTCGAGACAAGCTGTGTCAGCCCGCGGAAAGCAGCATGGCATCTCCTTTCTGATGTGTGTGAAATTTATGTGCACAAAGGCTCCTCCTTATCTATGCGCAAGCTAAATAAATAAATAAAGGCTTTTGTTTGCCAGGCTACTTGCACATGACTGTTTTGACTAAACCACTCCACGTTATTTGTACTTTACAGTGCCTAGAGAGAAAAAGCGGATGGGGGGGGGGGGGGGGGGGGGGAGAGAGGAGGAGGCGGGGGTGAGGGGCGAAGTCCCCGAGCCCGCGCTACCTGCTGCCGCGCGGGCGCTCCGCTGCCGCCCGCCGCACCGCGCTGCTGACGGGCCGGGGCCGGGGCCGGGGCCGGGGGGGGAACCCCCCCGCTCACCCACCCACCCACCCTCCCACCCTCTCTCTCTCCCCCCTTCCCTCCGAGATACAAATAACAGCGCCGAACAATAAACTTTGCCCTCGGCTGACACCCGCCTTGCGACAGGCGGCTTGGCACGCTGCCAGCCCCCTCACCCGATAAGACGGGGCAGGAGGTGGCGGGCGGCGCGGACAACATGGCCGATGTTTAGTCTCCGCGCCCCGGCCCGTGGCGGGACGGAGCGGCTCGGCGCGGCGCGGCGCGGCTCCCCTCTCCTCCTCTCCTCCTCTCCTCTCTTCTCTTCTCCGCCCTTCCCCAGCGCCGGCACCCAGCCGGAGGGGATGGCTCGGAGGATTCAGGCGGCAGCATCCCTCTGTATTTATTTATTTATTTTTAAAACCTCCTCCTTTTTTTTTTTTTTTTTTTTTTTTTAAAAAAAAAAAAAAAATGTCCTTTCCTCTTTCTGCCGGTATGTCAGCTATCCATCCATCCGGTGCAGTGCACCACTAGGTAAAAAGCAGTAACGGGCAACTAGTTTAATTAGTCTGGGCTTTTTTTTTTTTATTTATTTATTATTTTTTTTTTAGAGCCTTTATAAATGAGGAGCAGTCCAAGGTGGGAGGAGGAAGCGAGGAGCGGAAGGGACAGGGAATGAATGGTGAGGGATAACAAAGAGTCAGGTGCAGTGCCGTACGTGCGTCCTCAGGGTTGCTTATAGATCGATCTATTGTTTTAAACACTCCTGTAGCAATTAAATAAGAAAATGGAAAGGCTGTGGAAGTAGAAGCCAGGTTTCTAACGGCAGCTACAGGCTTTGAAAGGAGCGTGTGCGTTGTGTCAGGAAGAGCCCGTTCCTGTAGTGATGGAGAAGAACGTACCATCCCGGTCTGTGGGACAGCAATACGTAAAGATACGTCTGACTTTGGTTTTCCCGCTCCAAAATAGTCTGCTGCTTCACTGGGTGAAGGTAAAATCCCTCTAACGCGTTTTTGCAAGTTTGCCATGTTAGATAAGAGCGTGACTTTGATGTCTTGATGTAGTTGCAAAGCGAAACAAACCGGGGCAAAGACAGGGATTTCAGCTACAGCGAAGGGGGGGGGGTGGGGGGGGTGGGGAGGAGGGAAAAAACAGAATCAGGATATGATAAACACCGCTGAAAAATGGCAGGAGAATAATGTTTACTTTTGAATATATGGCCTGCTGCCAGGTTGGCGCTGGTTTTTAGGTTAGCAGAGGTTGGAGGAAGGGCCAGACTGAGGCGTGGCTAGCTGCTGTCAAGGAAAAAAAAAAAAAGGGCTGCAAATTGCTGTTCACAGCTTTTTCCCTCTCCTTCCCCCCCCCTCCCCCCCTCTCCCCCCCCCTCGCAAAAAGGCAGTGCTTTCTCTTAAGGCTATTAAAAATGATGCAGAATTTTAACCATCTGCTGTACCGGGTACTCTTTGCTGGTGCTGCAAAGCTGTATTTTCGTAAAGGGAAGAAATTGCAAAGCTTTCCAAATAGAAAACTTATTTTTTAAACATTTAAATATTTCAGGAAATAGTGCCTTTAAAGATTGATTCTTTTTAATTGCAAATTGAGAAATGGATATTAACAGTATTGAAACGTTTTTAGCCTATTGTGATGTGGTTTTTCGCTAAAGGTGACACAGGTGTACTGCTACAGCACAGCATACCACAGCTTTAGAAATGTAGTCTGGGCAATATGAAACTCGAGAAATGGACAGTGAGAGAAGCTGACAATTTTGATAGCCTTGTTGTTTTTTTTTCAAGGCTCGCTGTGGAAGGGCACAAGATGTAGCTGAATGCAGCAAAGTCATTTCTTGCACTTCATCAGCTGCATAAGTACGTATGGGAGTAAAATTATTTAATGAGTGGCATGGAGACTGGCAAAGGAATTGTGTCGCTGATACGGCCTCCTGAACGATAGTAATATGTTCAGAGCACAAAGGAAGAATATTTCTAAATAATAGTAGATGGGAAAAATGGTTTTGAAGTGGTGAAGCTTAAAGGAGAAAATAGAAGGAATCTTTAATGTGGTATTCTTACTTCTCATAAATTAGATTAACTGTTTAAGTGCCATGAGCGGCAAATTAAATATTTTTGAATATTAATAAATCAGAATATAATGTTTATCTGGAGTAAGAGCTAAGAAAATTGGAGGTTATTGCCTCAATAATTCATCTGCATATTTAAGATCAATTAGCAAATTATTGGAAAAAGCAATGCATAAAGATACGTCAGCATGCTGTTCCTTTGAAAATACAGTTGGGGTTTTATCTTTTAAAGATCTGTCAATACTAGATTGTTACCTAAAGCCATTGGTTATTGGTTGTAACTGGGAGGACTGTATTTTCTTTAAATGAAACATCTACAAATCAGTGTTAAGAAAGGCATTTACTTTCCGAAGCCAATGCAGAGGCCCAGTTAAACCTCCTTATTCAATTTTAATTAAAAAAAAAAAAAAAAGACTATATTATAGATGTCCTGTAGACTAAGTAAATTGTCTTATTTTTAAAGCTGAAGTTCGGGAGCTGTATTTTGTCACCTGTTGCTTACCACAGAAAGAAAAGGGGGGGGGGGGGGGGGAATATTTACTGATCATGCAAGCTTTTGCACGGAACTTGCTGTTTGTCATTTTATTACCATTCAGTAGAAAAAATAGCCTCTTTTTTCCCTGCATTTTTAGGTGCCACATAAAATTGTACAAGTATGTTTGCTTTACATAGTGCCAGAGAAGCATAATGAGGTGTTTAGTCACAGTTTGGATGTGGTGGTGGTAGAAAACAGCGCAGGAACTGTGGACTAGATTTTCAAGGGAATAGTCCTCGTTATCCAAGGCTGCCTAAATCCCAAACTGGTATCCAGGCAATAACGAGACACTTAATTCTCTGCTGGCTTTTTGTTAGGCTGTTATCTGCTGAACATTTTCTTTTTCTTGCAAGGTCTTCAGTATGGGCCGAGATTTTGGTGATTTGGTTTGTTGTTTTGCTTTTTTTTTTTTTTTCCTTCTGTTAACCCTTGGATTTCTGTTTGCTCCCTTTCCTGCAGAGCACCTTCGTAAATATGAATGCAAACAGTCTGCAGTAAGTGTGCTTTTCTGACATGGAATATGTGGATGGGAGGGCTTTGCAGGGTGAATCTTTATAGACCAGTAAAATAGTAACGCACTAACATTTTCCCTTCCTGTGTATTTGGATGTAAAAGTTAGTGTTGTGTATTGGAGCACTGCAGTAAATATTCTTCAGTTTAAAGAAAAAAGATTTCTGCATGAATAAACATGTCTACTAATACTGTAGTATTGATAGTATTTTGCAAGTTAATTGTATTTTACTGTATGTGCAAAATACAGCATTATGCAGGCTTTGAGATTTCAAAATTGTATATTGGGAACCTGTTAGTATGTAGGACTGTATGAAACACCTCTACTAATAGTGAAGGTTTATACGTGGGTATGGAATCATACATGAATAAATATGTAGTAGGTGCTGGGATAAGAAAATTATTTTGGACTTGGCATTATTTAATATACTACGTGTAATATATGTTGTCATCCTCTCACACACATCTCAATATACCTTTTTTATTTTAATACCAACTTGCTCTTTCAGCAAACATAATAGCATGAAGCTGTAGATTCAGGTTACATGTTTAGTTCTAAATTTAAATAAACAAGCAGATCATTTTAATATTAATTTCACAGTCCTAATGATGGATGAACAATAATATCTTTGTGTGGTTGTTTGCCAAAAATTGGCTTAAGTTGCTTAAGCCTAGATAATGTATTTTTGCTTTGTTGTTGAATGCTGGAGCTGGTTATCTGAAAATAAGTGGATGTGTTTTGAGATACTAAAAAAAGGGGTTTTTTATCACTTTGTAATCATATTCAATATTCTCTGGTTAAGTAGAATATGAAATGTAGTATAATTAGAGTGTCATTTAAATAATGAATTAAAGCCAGCAGATGATACAATATGTAAAACAGTTTATGGCAACAATCAATTTCTGTATAGTTGTATGTACTGCTGAATTATTGATAAAATAAATTGTATGAAATATAAGGACATGTTGGGTGATAGTGACTATGAAGTATCATTATTAACTGTGCTAGAGATACCATGATCCAAATCATTTGATAACCTGGGTGAGGTTATGAATGATACATAAACTAGGAAAGTTTTACTCAAATACTATTTTTATTTATTTATTTATTTTAAAAATAAAGTTGGAGTTAAACAGATCTGCCTGAGTTTCAAATCCATAAAACCCCACAGGCTGAAGAGACAATCTCTGGAACGTCTTTCTAAGCTTGTCTTGTGTTGGCTTCTGTTACTATTACAAAACACACAGGCTTGTCCGAAGGTACTGTGAAGAGCCTCTGATTTGTGAATTTTTCCAGTATCAGTGGAAAACTTGTTATATTAAACTCTAAAACTAGATAGAGGGCTTGATTGTGCCGTCAACATAGAACACGTTTTAATTATGTTTCCTGTGATTTGAAGAGTGAAATCAGGCCTACCAAATTTCTTTGAAATGGAACAGAAAATCGAAATCTATGTGTGCAAATATATTTATTTGTTTCTAATATGCCTAATTAAATCAGCAATATGGTATCTGGTGTCCATTAAAAATGTTTTGGTTGTTTTTTTTTTTTTTTCAGGGCCTGGCTTTGAAAGTATTTCATGGTCAGTGGAAAAAAATGAGGAAGAGGAGGGTGTGGCTGCCACTTAGAGGATCTGGCCCTGCAAACGGGCACTAGCTTGTGGAGTTGCCGTCCTTCATAGTAACAAAATGAAGACTTCTTTCAGGTAAAACAAAAATATTTTTTTAAAATCAGAAATCAAGTGAGCCTGTAATCCTATTATTTCTTAATGCATATTTCTGAAGGATGGTCAGTTCCTCACTTGAGTTCGGTAGCTGTATTTGCATCTTGTTCTGCCCCACATTTCTCAACTCTTTCGCTAATCATGACAAAACCAACAAAAACTAGGTCCAACTTTATAGAGTAATAAGGAAAGTGGTTTGAAGTTTGTGTTTTGTTTCGTTTTGTTTTTTTATTCTGAATATCCAATAAGGGACTGATCCTGTAGACTCTAGAATGTATCTGTACCCACTTCTTAATTTTTATTTCCATGCAGTATGCTGCACCATTAGCCTCTGAACTGGCACTTATACACACAGATGTTTCTGTCTATAGTTCTTTATATTAGGACAGCAATTACAGGACCACAAAAGCTTGGAATGAAACTTTGAGAATATTTTCAGGGAACAGTTCTTGTGGGATGAGATTTTGACAGTATTTCCAGTAAAACCATATATCTATGTCTCTCTCTATATATGGATATAGAGATATATATTTTAAGACATAGTTCACACTTGTTACAAGGTCTGTTTGTTAATAATGCTTATTTATAATCTTAATTCTGTATAATGGATCTTAAAGCTATTTTTCTGCAGTGGCATGATTTTATCGCACATTTTTTTCTTGTGCTGCTGCAAATGTGTTTTGAAAATGCGTGACTTTTACTGATACCGTGCGTGAAGATGGAGCTGAAGAAACCTCTTCAGTAGCATAACCGCTCATAGGTGTGGTTACAGAATCTGTTCTCTCATCTTTTGTCTTCTATGTGAGCTCATCATCTCTTAATTATGTATCCTTGTTTTCCTTTGAAGAGCAGCAGTGTGTGGGTTGTGGTGAGGTATTATCACAGTTTGGGTGAATTGTTAGCCACAAGACTGAAGGCTAAGTGCAGCAAACCACCATACAAGTGGTAATATCCCAGGATCTGACACACATTTTGGAATCTCTTATAATTATTAAATGGTTTTTGCAAATAATGATGTGTGGATGGGTAAAAAGATAATAAAATAAACAAGGGAACACATTTGTATAGTAAAACAATGTCTTACAATTTAGGTTCTTCCTAATTATTTGCGAGGAGGGGAAGAGCAGGTGACAAGGTAAACATACATGTTTTTAAGTATTTTTGTGAAGTTCAAGGGATGCATTGGTAGCATTGTATCAGGCAAAGTAGCTATTTTAGAGGATGAATGATTCTGCTTTAGTTAAAGTGGACTTTTCTATTTTTTTCCCATTGCTTTTGGCCATAGGAAAGAAAAGTAGAAATTACTGCACTGGATCAGATCCACAGTCTAATTAATGCTAAGTCTACCCTGACAGTTCTTACAAAGGCTTGATTAGTAAGAGAACAGAGGGCGAAGACGACCAACATTTGATCCTTTTGGAATACCCTGTCCTTGTCAGAAAGTGGGCCAGTTAGATCCCTTGGCCAATGGCTTTATCATGGCTTTGCTGCAAAGGTCTTTATGGGCTTTCCAGCAAACAATCCCCTTTAACACTATATTTTTGCAGGCTATGAATAGAACTGAATTCTTTCAGAATCCCACTGATGTCCCTTAATGATGGACTGTGGTGCTGATTTTCACATGCTCAGCCTGCACTTTGTAAAATAAAGTATTCCCATAGTTTGAATTTACTGCTTATTTAACTGAATAATTTCCCATTCAAGACTGGAAGTAGGCAAGAAAATCAGACTGCAATTCCTGACTTTCAAAATACGTGTCTCTGTCGTGTTCCTGTTGCTCACGTGCTTGGTAACATAAATGGTTTTACCACTTTATGTTTTTGTATATGGCAGCCTTTTTGTAAACCAAATCATTTTGGTCACCTGTCCTTGCACTCCTCTTACCTCTAATGCTCTAATGGGGTAAGGTAAAAAGAACTGTAGATAGCATTCTCTGTGAAGGTGTTTCTCTGGCAGGTACAAATTAGAAGGATAATGTTTTCAATACAGTATTCTGTGCTTTTTTGCATTCATTGTAGAACTCTTATTTGACATTGCTGCCTATACATGAAAGCTTTAGTCGACTTGTTATGATGGCACCCTGGTCTTTTCCCTTTGCTGAGAATGTTGCAATATGATTTCCTTAGCAATTAGAAAAAAAATATGGATCGTGTTTCACATTCACTCAACTTTGTTAAACCCTTCAGTAACCCAAATATACTCCCCTTGCTTGTCGGTTTTGCCACTTTGTTTTACAGCTGATCTTTCCAGACTGCTAACTGAAGTTAAAAGCTGATACCAGCATGGCCTCTGTGTGCAACAACTATTAACTTTTTCTTCTTAAAATGTCTTTTTATTCCTGCATTTTACTTTTGGCTGCTTAGCTCATTTTTAATCCTGACTCCAACTTTCAGTCATGGTTACTCCGTTTCCTTTATGGGCTTTATGAGTAACATTATCAAAGCCCTTTTGAAAGGTCAAATAAATAGTAATTTCTTCTGCAGATTCACTCCAAGTTAAAAAAGACATTTTTAATTATGTTAGCAATGTTGTTTTTCTCTCCATTATGTAATCTCTGTTTAGGCATTAAAGTTATAATCTGTTAAAGTAAACTTCCAGAAGGTTTACTGAATGCTAGAATTCAGTGGCATGTAATCTGGATCATCATTTGTCGTTGTTTTTAAGGAGTGCTACCCTTTCATTCCTGATAGGAGAGTGCATATTTTTTCTGGAAACCCTGCCTCCAACCTTGAGCTGCCTCAGGACTGCATGTGTATCTAGTCCTTATAATGGCTTGAGTTTTAATTTATCCAGTTATTTCAGCACTTTCTGTTGTGGTGTCTGCTGCTCTTTCACCCTTTACTTGCAAAATAATTGATTAATAGGATTTGCTATCTGGAGGGACCAGAGGAGACAATTTGATCACTTGAATATGATATTTTCTACCTGTATTAGGCCTGATAACTTCTTTTTAAGCTAAAAGGTACTTTTGGGTCTGTCTGGATTTCTGGGCATCAGGAGATAGAGGTGTATCCAGGAATATGAGGTAGGATCAATATTATTCCACTCCCCATACCCCCCCCAAAAGTGGACTATGCAAGAATTTTGTGTCAGAAAGTCATGTTTACTCTCTTTTCTGGTTCAAGAGAAGGGACATCTTATTCCATAACTTTCCAGAGAGTGGTTTTTACTTCCCATCTTGGAGGGAGAATGCTGTTGGCTGGTGTGAAAGAGAACTGGAAAATGAAAGACTAGGAGATATAATCTTGAGCTTCTACTGGAACAAGTAGTGGGTATACAGCTTGTTTTGTTTTGTTTTGTTTTTTAAATATCCCAGATCAGGAACCCAGCTAACAAGAAATGTTAATATGGTCATACAGAGTGAGAAAGGGTGAGTTTACCCTTTTGCATGACTGAATATCTCAAGATCACAATCAGCCATTATCTTTTCTGCAGTGTTTTTTCTCCTCTTTATTCGCCCCCTTTGTTTCCCAGTAGTATTTCAGACTTGCCAGACAACTGTTGTGCAGCCTTCCTGCTTCTGATGTATGTCAATAAATTGTCCTTATGTCTTTGGTTCAGTCCTTATGCTCCTAATCTCCATTTTTAAATATTACTTTCTAAGTATATTCTTTGTTCTAGTTGTTTCAGTTCACTGCTTTTGTTTTTCGGAAAAGGTACCTCTTTGCCTCAATCCATTGCAAAGCTTTTCTCAATACTCATCACACTGCCCTTGTCTACCTACTTCTTCTGTGTCTAGAGACTTTTTTCTGACGAATATGCTATGCCTGCATAATCTTCCATGCATGAAAGCAGAGTGTTCCCATTTAAGTCATCGGGAAGATCTGATAAACATACAGTGTGACAATATGGTACTGTATTTCCAGGTAGCTTGTCTTAAATACCTACTGTACATTTTTGTTTTTCACCAGGTGACTTTTGCTCTGGACACAGACTTTTCTAAACTTGTTGTCTGTCAAGGTTTTCTAACTCCACTGCTCTTTCTTTGACTCCTGGTATACAACAAAAAGCTCAATACTTTAATATAAGATTTTGGGAAACAGCAATCACTGGAAACAGTATTATTAGATTCGATTGTTTCAGGCACAGAAGTGGACAGGTGAGAAAATGTGAAAGAGAGTTGTACTGAGTGCCAGTCTTTCACCCACCTGCAGTGGGAATACCGCCCATCATGGTGCAAACACATGGTTTGGAAGTTTCTCCTTTATGCTTGGCCACGTTGGAATCTGTTGTGAGCCATCTGGGCTAAACCCTGTGATCCCCAGTGGGACATGTATGCTAAGAAGGATTTCTCCTTTTGGTTTTCCTGATGACAGTAAGTCTCGCTGTCTTCCTTCTGGGGTGAGGAAAGTTCAGAAACCATAGGAGCAAGGAAGAGGAGTGGTGGGTGAAGAAGGAAGTGATTCTTTTCACAAACAGAACATAATAAGGCAAAGTAATGTTATTTTTATTGGATTCTTAATTTCATTTATCTGTTCAGATTCTTTTAAAAACATTTGAAATGCGTGGGTTCCTGCTATGAAGAAGCCTGCAAATGGGGAAAGTGACTTCTCGAATGTCCTGAAGAGGAGAGCAAAGAATCTGCCTTCCTCATTGTGCCTGATGCTTGAGGATACAGGGCTAATGGAAGAGATGGGAAGGGGCAGAGCATACCACTGTGAATGCAGGCTGGGTATAATAAGACCCCAGCTTGCCACACTTTATGCATTAATTCATGTTGCTAGAGACTAGAAAGCTGCATGTATTGTTGTGGATTCAAAAATAGCTATTTTGCACAAATTATCTGAGAATTGAACGACACTCTTTTGCTTCTGCACCCATATAATCCATGCAGAGAACTCCTGTACTGTGCTGCTGTAGGACTTTGGGTTTTGGAGTCTGGCACTCCTGCTCCTCCTTTCAAAGTCAGCTGGTGTGGTGGGTGATCTAGTGCTGATTTTAACTGCATTCAGCCCCTGTGGGGCTTGTCTGTGGTGCTGAGCTCCCTGCACCAAAGACTTGGATCCGCATGGACCCCGTGCCTGGCCTTATTCCTGTTATTTTCTTCTGGAACCTCTAGCAATGTTCAGCTTCATCAGAACTGCTTCTGCCTGAGGGCTGAGAGGGGAAAATGTCTTAGTCTAGACCACTCCCTTCCACATGCTCTTTTTCTTCCATCCTGGCTGAGTAACTGATGGCAACATCTGCATCCCAGTGAGCAATATCACCACAGATGAGGAAACCAAGGCACAAAGCAAAAATTGGGATCATCCAGCAGGCCAGTGGATTAGAGGTGAGAATGGAAGAGACGATCCAGCATGCTGTCTAATTGGCCACGTTGCCTCCCGTATGTTACCAATGCAGCATTAATTTAGCTGTTTCAAGAGATGCTTCTGTTAATATTTTCATATTAATAATGATGTTCTAACATATTATTAAAAAACTGTGTAGCAGAAAGCTTAACAGACAAAAGCAGTGCTTATTTAGCCTGATTAAGCCTAGTTACTGGCATATGTGAATTTTCACAGGCAGCATGTTTTCACTTTATTTTCCTTGGTTTCTTCTTCGCAAATGAGCCATCCTGGAGTTAGCAATTGTCTACAGCATCAGGCAACTTTTCTGCCTATCCGCATACTACAGGATATTTTAAGATTCACATTTATAATAGCTACAAAAGATTATGCTTCTTCAACTGTTTTAAGACCCAAACAATTTTATAAATAAACTCAGAACATTTCAAAAGGAGATCTAAAAGAAAAAAAAAAAAAACAAAAACCACAACTGCATTGAGGTTATAGTTTTCACTTAAAATGCTTTTATAACTAAAAAACTTATTTGAAACAGCTGGCTAGCTATGCAGAAATTAACCTGGTTTTAGAAGGAAGACCACATGAAGTTCATATGTACTTTTGCTCTGGAATTAATGTGCCATTGAGCCTTGGCAGCTTAAGGTATCTATTTTGAAGGGGGGCTAGGGGGGAAGTCAAATGATTTAGTGACTGAAGAGAGTTGCCACTTGCGTGAGCTCCATCCCTAGGGATATGACCTTTTTAATCCTCTTTAGTTAATGTATTGGTGATCTTTACTTAGGCAGAGTAAACAGTGCTGTTCTGAACAAAGGGGAGGTCATGCTTCCTGCATTACACTCTGACCCCAGGGTCGCGGCCTTTGTTCACTTCTCAATGGGAATTGCTCTCAGAGGACCACCACAAAATGGAGAACTAATTTAGGCACGTGCTGGCAGAGAATGGCAGAGTATCAGGTTTGCCTCACCCGAACCTCCGAGCGTGCAGCAGTCACAGCGAGAGTAAAAGTCAAACTATTTCAAAGAGGATGTATTAGCTCTTTACTTACCGATGGCTGCGGTGCTTAATCCCTTGTTGAACTAAATATATTGCTTGGGTCTTCCCCCCCGTGCTGCCAGTAATTCAATTTCTCTGTTGTTTTTAGCCTTTAAACTTTTTTTTTTTTCTTCACCCCCACTGGACTGTTCCAAATGAAGAAGCCTTAGACTAGTGAAAATTAGAGAATTTTTCACTTAAAAGAGAGAAACTGCATGGCAATTGCAGCATTAAACTTGGGCCTCTGAGGTCTCAAAATAAGCATTGTTTCTCAGACTGTAAGGAAACATGATGCTGTGTCCCAGCAGATTGTATTCATCACCTTTTTCATAACATTTTCGTTGTGTTGTACCAAGTAAATACATATGCACACAGGGCCCTGTGAAGCCGAGCACGGTAATCATGGGGTACTAAGCCAAAGTGAACTAGGACTTCCTCATATTTATCACTAATTTTATGTAAAAATGCTGATGATTCTTTTTTTTTTTTTTTCTGGCAGAACACAATGTATCTCATTTTTAATTGCCATGACCGGGGAACATATATAAACATGGGAGCTGCGATAAATTATCTGGAAGACTCATGTATAGAAAATCATCACCCTTCACTGAAAGATGTTCATTATTTTTCATCTAGGTGCTGTTATTTGCTCAGCAGTAAAATCTGTGAAACACAATGATAGATCATAAAATAATTAAACTGTAAACACGTATCTTCAGTCAAAATACTGCTTTTCCACATATCTTCCTTGTACCAAAAAAAAAGAAAAAAAAAAAGAAAAAGGAAAGGCCCCTAATTGCTGATGACAGCCAAGTTGTATAAAACACAGCAGGGTTAAAATGGAGCACAAGGGATGTGTGTGTGTATTGGGAGCAGCCTCTAATGTTGCCATCACAAAAATAAGTAATGCTGTGTTAGTAAGCTTCGACGCTTTTGTGGCTGTTGACATGACTGGGATTGAGGTAAAAATGTGTATGACAGTAAATTTTACCTCTCAGACTTGGGTATTTCTGGGCTTACTGGTGGGGTTTTTTGTTTTTTCATGCTTTATCCCCCTATAAATCTCTAGAAGACTCCACTGTATTGGCGTAATGGGGTGCAGGGTGGGTTCACCTGATGTTACTGCTCGTTCAGGGTACAGTCCTGCATATGCTAGCTGCTGTGCCGTTTGCAGTTGTGATTCTCCTGACTCCTTTTAGACTGCTCTAGTCATAAGCAGTAAGGCATCCAAGAGATGCTTCTCAGTCTGTGTCTTCTGTGCAGTTGCGGGCACCTCTCGTGTTCGGTCCACCCTTGTGGAGTGGGAGGTTTACCCCCACTGGAAGGGCTCAGTCCTGCCGGGGGGCTGGGAGGAGTGCACGGGCAGATCCCCAGCGCCTCTGCCTTGCCCAGAGCATCCTTCTCCCGAGGCTTTTCCAAGGTGCAGGGCAGGTAGTGCTGCTGCATTTGCTGCACAGATTTGCCTTCTGTACCAGACTTCTCTCCAGAGAAGAGGGCACGCAGCTTTTTTTAACTGTTGCACACTTCCAAGCCTTTTTTTTTCTCCTGCAGATTATGTGCCATTACGTGGATTTGCCTGATATAGAATACTGTAACTCTTTTGTGTAAGGAAGCAAAATATTTTGTTTCGCTCTTCCTCTTTCTTCATTTTGTTTTCTTTGCACTCCAGTTATTTCAAGTAAAATGTTATGTCTTTCCCTTAGTTTTCCTGAAGTTGTATTATTTAACACTCTTATAATCTACTCTTAGATTTAAAAGTGCATTCTGTAATACAGCAAAATAAGCTCTTAAGACAAAATAAGTGGCCAAGCAACTGAAACATCATGCTCTTCTAATGAAAAGTTGCATTCAAAGCTGAGCCAAATGTGAACAGCAGTTAGTACGTGAGCAGCAAGTGACAGTGACTACAGCAATACTGAAACCAACCTTTCTGTGTCCTTTATTCGTTACTTGAAATTCCCAAAGTCCACTAGCATTAGATTTCAATGGAAGCCAGAGGGGTAAGGTGTATTTACTATACCCATTATCTAATAAAAATAATATTGTCACATAAGCATACCTCTATTCCTCACTTGTGTTTCTTATTTATAATTAGTATGCTTACTAATGAAAATAACAAGGTCCATCCCCTTTCACCATGTGTTCTTCAGTACTGGTATTCCTTTCCTGTTATCTGCAGGATTTTAAAGACTAAAGAGAGTGTCAAGGCAATGTCAGTTGCATTTATTTTTGGGTTATTTTTTGCCTTAAAGCATTGATACAGTTGAGCTTTGTTTGCAGGTAGTGAGCTGTAGGAGAATTTTAAAATGTGGATGTTTTAAAATGCTTAGAGTAAAAAAAAAAAAAAAAAAAAAAAAACAGCCAACATTCAAATTTTTAAATATTTATTTTTTCCACAAAACTATATTGGAGCCTTACAATAACTGTAGTAAGTGCCTGCTTGAAAGGAAAACTAGTTTTTCTCAGTTTGTATTAAGTATTTCGACATGCAATATGAGAATCTAAAATGTCGTAGTAGAAGTGCCTCTTCTGAAAGCTTCTTATTGAGTAGAGCTCAAGAAGAACTCAATAAGATTTTTTGCTTTGAGTGTTCTTGACTCAAACATCTCAGGATTATTTTTGTTCTTTTTTTTGTTCTACTGTCTAAAAAAGAGCTTTATGTCTGGCAAAGTTTGGACTGATAGAATGGGCAGAGAATAATCTATTTTACTGCGTGGACTTCATTCCTCAGCATTACTATTTCTGGTAGTGATTTCTTCAGCTACTGTACCTGGTAAAGCTTAATGGTGGTTAAGACTTTTCTCATTTCCTAGACAAAGATGTTACCGAAATTTGAAATACAAACTTCTGTATTATTTTTCTACATTTGCTTTATCAAAATTGTTTCCAAATGTGATCCCTGCTTGGAAAACTAAGTAAGAACCATTCATATTTTACAGCCTACTTTGTTAAGCAACTGTTGTCCACCTGTCTATTCCACTTTTAATATTAAGGCATTTTGATTACCTGGTTGATTACCTTGATCCTGTGGACAATTATTTGCAATATAGCACTTTATCTAAGGAGAGAAAAAATGAAAAATTAGAAAAATAGTCTTGTAGAACATTGGTTTGGCCAGGCTTCAGATGTACTATGGAAATTACTGAGTCTGTTCTTTACTTTTTGAAGATAAATATTTTTCTGAACACTGAACTGCCGGATATATATATTTAGAGTCCAGTGTAACTCAGCAAAATTCATTTGAAGTAAATGCTTATTTGCCCAATTTGTCTGCTGGCGAAGTATCTTCTGCCTCTTTCCATTGGATGCTTGAATAAAAAGAAATATGTGAAAGTTTCAGAATGCTACATGGATACAGATAGATGCATATCATACATTTATGTGTGTGTGGTTTTTCAATTAATATTAGGGTGAGCGGAAAACACAAGACAGGCTTCAGTTGCACCTGTGAAAATAAAAATGCTACTTCTCTGTGAAACTGCATTGCTGTATTTTTTTGTGGTACGAAGATACCATCCTTGTGTTTTCCACTGGCATTATCCACTTTGGAAAGAAAAATGCATGACAGCCTCAAAATGGCGTTCTCTGTTAGGGAAAGGCAAAGACGAAAGCTGGAATAACATAGTAGTTCCAGCACAAAATGGCCTTTTCTAATAGATTTCCAATAAATTTCTTAGACTGATTAAGGTTTTTGCCATTAGCGGGCCAATAAAAGCTGAAAAATAATACAGTAAATCTGATATTCCTAATAAATCTTGCCCTGTATGTATGGGATAGCCACTTACTAGACGAGCATGTGTGTAAGTACAGTATTAAAGAAAAATTGTGTTTTGCCTGTCCCCACAATGAATCTTAAGTATCTATTTTGCTTTCCCTCTGTGCTGGAAACACAGAGCACTGCTAGCTGAATGCTGGAACAACATTTTGGCCTATGTGTGCAGTACTTCATTAGACGAAACGTCTGATCTTTATGTCAGTCTCCCTAATTCTTTCAGGTCTAGTACAGGAGCGAGGTCTTACATTCAGGTAGCCAC